GAGCTGAAATTTGACAGGGATTATTTTTTTGTATGAAACTATATTCTGAAAAGTGCCACAAAAAAATTTATAATACGAAAAATGAAGATCATCCTAACACACACACACACACACACATATTATGTATATATTTACATATACATGTATTTTTTTATATATGTAGAAAGTTATCGGTACTGACTAAAGAGATTCGTCTTATTTCTCGGAAATTATGAACGCATTTCATTAATATTGATAAAAACATGATTTTTTTGGGATAATTAAATATGTGAAATTCAATTTATATTTGCAATTTGTTTTTATATAAAATTAGCTAAAACAAATTTTACAAATGCGAAAATAACATATTTTCTTTTACAAATTGCGTAGTTTAAATGATAGTAGATTATTATATTGTTTTACATGTTCGCAGTTTCCTAAAACTATTTTATTTATATTTTTCTCTTTGCCTTCTTATTACTGTTGTTCTGTTTATTCAGGCTGTTATTTTTGCTTATCTTATGAAAAAATTAAAGGGGATTTCGCTTGAATTGAAAAATCGATTTTTTTGCATTTTCTTTTATTTCATATTTTAAGAATATTCAATTCAAATATTATGGCAATATTCGCAAAACTGACAAAGTTACAAGACTTACTTAAAGCGGTCACTGCGTAGACAGGTAAAAAATAACTCGCTCTATCAAGCGTGTTGGAGTGAGTAAGAGCTATGGTAGGAGCATATTGGAACATGTTGGAGCATGCGACGCGAACAAACCTTACATAATTCGTCTATTTTTTATGGCTAAAGCTGGTTCTACATTAGTCGCATCGCAGCGTCGCAAGCGTTGCGGTCCAATCAACATCAATCTAGCTTGACTCTGAACGTTTGTTTTGCAACTGTTGGAAGTTTCCTTCGCGCTGATTGGATCATACTTTTAGATCTAGAAGAATGGTCCTATCTCAGCAGACAATCATAAAACGGTTCTGTTGAGTCTGCTGACCGCAGCCATTGGTCGCGTTCAGCAGACTCAACTGTTGCGGAGCGGATTAATGAGCTCTCGCTGCTATTGGATGATCTAAAAGAATACACCAATAGCAGTGAGCGCTCACGGATCCGCTCCACAACAGTTGAGTCTGCTGAACGCGACCATTCTTTGTTCCTAATTCCTTATTCCTTCTATTGTGCACAGGACCTAAATCTAGTGACTTTAATTTTTAAGCGACACGAGCGCCTCCAATCCAATCGGCGACGACGCCCGAAAATCTAACGATCCTGCACAATCCTGTTTTGTGGAATAAGTTCCGTTTGATTTTATTCGTAGTATAAAAGCAAATTTTATATACGTAAAAATGTTGAATGTGAAGATCTTGGGAGTATCCTTGAAATGCAGCTTCAACACGCCAGTCTCTGTGCAAGAATTAAAACAAGAAATTGAGAGAGAAACAGTAAGTGATTGATCTTAAATTATATTTTAACATAACCTTAAATTATTTTTTTATTATTCCTTGAAATTCTTGTAGCGTTTTCCATTGGGAAAGCTAATGCAATACTGGTACAATTGGATGCAAGTCGGTTTACATATTTTCAGTGTTAATGAAGAATTTAATCTTTTTCAGATTATTCCTATATTCGTTTACACAGCGATTAGCGCAGAGAGTATCATTTAATCCTTGTTTAACACTCGATGAACAACAAGGATAAAGTAATACTTTTGTGCTAACCGCTGCGTAAACGAATACACTCTATGAGATTAACATGATTAGAGACTGTCTCTAAACATGATGACAAAGAATTTGTTATTAAAAGGATTAAATTATTTTTTAACACTGAAAATAGTGAATTAATTTACATTCGATTGTATTCAGTGTTACACTAATTTTCGTAGTAGAAAACGTTATTAATTTTTTTAAATAATTTGATTCGAGCAGTTGACATCTCAATCTATAATTTGCATTTAATATTTTAGTTTATTAATATTTGATGAAACTATTCATTCACATCTTGTGTAAAAACAAAAATTTGGAAAACGAATCACTGCTTGATGCTCTAAAAATTAATTAAGTATAAAAGATGTATTTAAAAATTAGAAAATCTATTAAGCCAAAGAAAAAAGTAATATAAATATATGTTATAGTAGAAATAGTGCCTGAATTATAAAATTATAAATAGAAATTAAACCGATAAGAATAAATCAAATAAATGTAAGAGAAAGAATCTTATTTTTAATCATCAAAATAGATCTTGGTGCTCATTAATATGCAAATTTTTACTAGTACACTTTTCAGTTCTATAAACTGTGTGCAGATTCAGTTTATCGGACTTGAAACACAGTTGTAAACTGAAGCTAAAAAATAGTATAATTGATGTTGCTATGTGTACAGAAAGTAGGAGATGATGCAGGATCTTGCTTTATGCAAAAAGTTTAAAGAATTATATCTTATTTTTTATTGCTTAAGACAATATAAAAGACCTAGAAAATTGAAATCCATATAGAATCATAATTATAGGTACATTCATTTCATATTAAAAACACTGAGTAATAAGAGATGGATAACATGTGCAAAGTTGAGAAACTATACAATGATCAATACTTTCTATACCAAACAAAGTCCATAATTATACAGTTCTACCTGAGTTTTCAGTTTTCTATACAAAACAAGATCCTATATCGCCTGATACTAGCAGTACAAAACATAGCCTTAATTGTATAATTTTAGATAGATTTTCAATTTGTTTCATGCCAAATGTGATTTATCAGATATCTTCTAATTTTTTATGTATACACACACGAAATGTTTAATTATTTTTGAAACTACTACAACTTTTGAATCCTTGTTTTGCATAAAAAGAATGTACTTTTATCAAAATTTAAACTATGAGGGAAACTTATCAAATATAATATTAACAAAGAAATATCACTTATGGATTAATAATTCTTGTTTTCAGAATCTTTCATGTGATCAATATTATGTCCTGCACAATGGTCGACTCATACAGGAAGATGATATCTGCTCGAGTGGCTATGCAACTGTGGTTCCAAGACTGTTGGGTGGCAAAGGTGGTTTTGGATCCATGTTACGCGCGATAGGCGCGCAAATTGAGAAAACCACAAATCGCGAAGCTTGCAGAGATCTCAGCGGTCGCAGATTGCGCGACATAAATGAGGAAAAGAGGCTGAAAGCTTGGATTGATAAACAGGCCAAGAGAGAGAAGGAAGAGGTGGAACGCAAGAAGAAGAAGCTAGAAAAACTCTGCACCGAGCCGAAGCACGAATTTAAAGATCAGCGTTATGACCAGGAACGTGCGGAATTGACCGAGAGAGTTGGAGATGCCGTGGAAGAAGGATTCAAAGCTGCGACTACTGCGAGCACATCGGGTATCAAGAGGAAGCAGGAGGAGAACAATAAACCCAATAAACGCAAGACCATGTTAGATTTGGAAATTGATTCCGACGAATTTGAGGATTCTGATGACAGTGATGAGGATGAGGCGTTGCCTGTGGAAAGAATAAAAGCAAAAGAGCAGCAAGCATCAAATGGCAGCGGACATTCCAGTAACGATGCCGAAAATGTCAATGAATGCATCAAGATAATAGGAAGTGAACATTCCATATCGTCGAATGATAATCAGATAAATAATAAAAGTATTGAGTAATGTTATTTACTGAAGTAAATATTAAATGTATTATTGAGTCTCAAATGTAAATGCATAAAAAGTACAAAAAAAGATTATGTTAATTATACTTGGGTCACTTAAAGTTAGAGTCATTATTTTATATTAAGATCAATTTATGTAATAATCACTTTATTGTCGAAAATAATGTAAGCATGTAATTTCAAACATATTTATTAATTATAAATATTAATTATAAGTATACGAAGAATTAGGACTTCTGATGCAAGAAATTTTTTGTTACTTTTTCTCGCTTATGACATCAGAATTCTAATATGGTCGAAGCAGCTTAACGAACATGAAATAAATTACTGTAAAAGAATTTCTTGTACGTTGTAATGTATTAAAAAAATTGCAATAAATTATACATATATTATTTTAACCATTACTTGAATTTCTTTGAGCGGTTCCCTGATTCTCTCGAATGACAATTCCTTGTAAATTCCAAGTTTGATTCCCTAGTTTAATTCCGATATTTCTGATTAGAAATAAAATCATCAATGCGATAATCAATTAAAGAAATCGCTCATTTATATCTTGTTTTCTTTCTTTTGCTTGAAATAAAGAATTCTGATTGGTTGAATTTCTTATGTCTTATGTATAAGCGTTATGCAAGAGTCTGTGTTCCCCACTTTATGACGCTCGCATCGAGGTATTTCGTGGCTTTGACAGATTTCTTAACCTGAATAGTCGTGAGCTTTAACGATTAAATATTTCGATTTGCGGGGCAGAGCGAGCTTTTCTCGGCCAGAATGCCAGATTTATTCGACCAAAGATGCGTTGAATGAGCCTAATTTCATCGATTTTTGAGGTGACGTGGCTAAACTGAATAATTATATACATATATACATAAACTATAAATAAATGCATAAAGCAAGACCGATAAGATTAATACTTAGAAAAAGTGAGTATTTAAGGTGATTAAAATTGTTTTACATCTAAAAGATGATTAGAATTATATGCTCTAAACTTTAAGGCTATAGATTGCATTTTCATTACTGCTTCTCCTCTACAAGAGCGAATATTATTGTACGAATAATATTTTAATTACAAATTTATTTCTCATACATATGACGAAGTAATTAGTTGCAAGTAATTATAAGATAATTATATAAAAACGCGTTACAATGGAAGACTCATAAAGGTACAATTTCCTAACCTTAAAAATATCATTTAATGATCGATTACTCTTCTTGCAACTCGCAATACCTAGTGACGATTTTTATTATCAGTATTATCACACACTTATTCTCTACATTAAAATACATATATGGATAAAATTTCGATAAAATGTATAAGGAGTGAGCATGCTTCATTTGAGACAGTCAAATCTGTCTGCAACAGATTTTGCAAAGCGTGTGCTACTAATTTTATTAGCAGAATGTCAGCAGAAATATAACAGAATCTATTAATGAAATGTAATAATCAATCGACTGTAGAAACCGAACAGATTTTGTAATCATTTTAATATTCCACTTAAATGATTAGCAATTAACAGGCTGTATTTAATTCCTGAGCAATTTGCTGTCAAATAATAGGTGTTTTCCATTTAATGACACAAGTCGACACAAATACTTCATTTTTCTTGATATTCAGAGGGTAACAAAGATAGTGTCGACTTGTGTCATCAAATGGAAAGCACTTTATATCAACAAATTCTGTTCGCAGAATATAAGCTTAAACTGGTTTCACAACTGCGTGAGCATAGTTATAAGCGATTGTAATTGTAAGAAATGACCCATTACAGTTGAACATGAGAAGAATATTCGATTGTAATTGGTTAATTTAACGCAATTGTAGAGTGGACTCTAATGCAAACGTAGCTGATACTATTTTATCACAGTATCCTGCTTTAATCTGCTAATATATTGTTAACGTCATGCTTACTGGAATATTTAGCTAGATTTTCTCATCTTCAGACCTACTTTTCTATAACTCTCTTGAGTAAATTATACATATAACATTATATATGTAATAGTATTTTTATACACTCAGTAATTTTCATTCTAGCATCTTAAGATATTCTGACCATTATAGCAATTAATATGCAAATGCAGACATCTGTTTCATTTTTTAAATAGAAATCTTAGCATTTAAATACAAGGAGCACCAGTAAATAATGGCAAATTCTGTCTCGCGATGAAACCAATCATACTGAAGAATTTTATAACAGTTACAAAACTGCTTTCTCTGCTAAACGCAGCTTATTTTCGTACTTCTTGGGAGAAAGGATTTTAAAAATTACTTTAGGTTCTGCGAGGCAGATTTATCCTTATTTACTGGTACTCTTTTAAAGCCTTTTTGCATAATGCACATTATTTGTAATAAAGATAGATATTAATGTTAATTGAATAATAAAACAATAACATAGATTACAGTATGATTCGTCATCAACAAGACATGAGCAGTTGTGAAGCATTGATTAGGCCTATAGAGAGTTCAATTAGGGAAAAGTTGGAAGCTGCACTAAAACCCCTTCACTGCGAAGTTATTAATGAATCCTATATGCATAATGTTCCTAAAAACTCTGAGACGCATTTTAAGGTAGTGGTTGTAGCAGAAACATTTGATAAGCAGCCGTTAATCAAGGCAAGTATCACCGATTTTTAGTGTTCTCTCTAATTATTAAATGTTTTATTTTAATAATTAATTTTAAACCTCTCTTGGGTTAAAAAAATAATTTTAATTAATCATGAAATATAAGGTATAAGATGTATGAAAATAAATATGGAAAATAATAGCGTTATTTAAAGCAAATAAAATAATAAAAAATAAATGGTACTCATTTATGAATTTACATAATTATGAGATTAAGGACTAGATATTATTTCGCGTACTTAGTATAATGGAAAGGATATCTGAATTAATTATTAATTTAGCGACACCGAATGATAAACCAGTTATTGCAAGCAGAACTGCAAAGAGGTGTACATGCTCTATCAATTATAGTAAGTGATGACTGTTATTTATTAATTAATTCTTCACTATTAGCATGTAAGAAAAATAATACCCTTTTTAAAATGGGCTAGATAAAAAAATTATATAAATTATATATATTATATAATTATATTATATATATTATTGTGTTGTCTTCAAGGCGAAAACACCAGAGCAATGGGAAGCAAGCAATAAAATAGTGGCTGCGAGTCCTGCTTGCAGGGGCGGTTTTGGAAAGTTAAATGTAATGATTTAATGATTAATTATAAGTATTAAGGTAATAATTTAAGTTGCGAAAATAATTTACATAACATAAGTATCACATAATAAACATATTCCGCTGCAATTTACATAAATATTTTCTTTTATTAAATGAGATAATTATGTATAAAATGCTTTCGTATACCAGACAAAATCAGATAATGAAAAAACTTTTTAATTTGCAAAATCGGAACATAGGATAGAACGGAATTAAAATATTGATATTGTAATACAGAGATAAAAATAATAACAATAAAAACTCAAAAGTTTATTAATCAAAATATCATTTCATCAGTCGTAACTTTAGGATTCATTTTTTCAAAAAATATTTGAATCGTCTTCTCAACTGTTGCACTCGATCTTTTAGTTGCAAGGTTTTGGTTCAACAATACAATGAAGTTGTATACATAAGTTTTAATTGATGATATTCAATGCTTTCTTCTTCATCATTTCTCTGAATTTATTTCGCTATATACTAAAAAGATGAGAGCTTTTAGTAAGCACGTACAGATTCACAAATAAATATAAATTAAAAAATTTCTCATAATTCATTTTCCTTTTTTGTTTTTACTTCATGTATTGTTGTGCCAATCCCTAATTGCATAATGTATAACGAAAATGACAAAAATAAAAAAAGATGCACTAATGTCACAATACGAATGTATCCAGTCTTAATTTGCCTTCATTTTCGGTAAGATAGAGTATGTCCGCCATTGACTGCTCGGCTATCGCTTCCTCCGCCTTCTCGTGCATCTATGATAATTGTTTAATGTCATTAACATTAGTAAGAATTATTGATATTATTTAGAATTACAAAAAACCGCTATATCCTTGTAAAATTGAAAGTTCGATAATTAATAAGTACATAAGAGAATTACACATATTTCTTTGTTGATAAATTGATTTCGGTATGGTCTAAATATACATCTTGTGAAATGTTATTATTGGACAGTGTAATGATTCCTCAAGATTACTGATAATACTTATCTTAGAATAACTTGAGTTTGATGCAATTTAATAAAGTCTGAAGATAAATTAACATACAATAGATTAATCTGATCACATGGTGATTTTAATTAATTGTGAGTATATGAAGATAATTTATCATTTTAAAAACTATAAAAAAGTAGCGATACTCAAAAGATTTTATTTTATTATATAGAATTTTGTATCATTGAGAAAGACCATATTAAAGATCAAAATATTTAAATATGACATATTGACTTCTTTTTTATCAGTGTTTCACTTCTAGCGTTGGCTCAAATAGCTTATATTAGTCTAATATCAATTTAAATTGCACATATCTTGAATAATATAAATGCAAAGTTTACTTTAAGTCGACGACATAAATTGAAAATTCTATATATTCTATATATCAGGTATATAAAGTATCTCAATCTACGATTGTGTGTGAATTAACATTGTCGATTATTAGATAGAAGTAAAGACGTGAATTTACTTGAACAGTAAGAAATGTGAGTTTACTTACGCCTCTAAACGTAATATTCGTTGGAGGATATTTAAAATTCGGTCCAAAATTCACAGAAACCATCGCGCTCTTGTATAGTGAAATCCCTGGATAGTAAGCGCCCTTATTGATGTCTATAAAGGCATCACCTTGGCTGATTCCATTTTTGTAATATATAATTTTGCTGCCCTCTAAAGGCCGTAGAGCTTTTAGGGTTTCCTGTACTTGATCTTTTTCCTCGTAATATAAGTGGCTCTTGAACTTTACTAAAGGCTAATTTATAAATCGGAAAATACGTAATAATTATTATATATTTTTATAGAAAGTTCATTTTTAATTATATGCAAATATTTCAGTAACAAAATCATAAAACAAAGAATTAATTATATTATTATAACTACGGTCCGATCGAAATTTCTAATAATTTTTTAATAATTGTATCTTAATACCTTTATGAATAGAATAATGTGAATCAAATTGGTGTAAAGAAAACACATAGTTGTTTATTTAAAAAATTATCTATTTTATTATATATATACCTATATATTTTTTTTTTATTTTTTTAAGCAACTCGGTTGTAACTTTGGCGCTTCTTATTTTGTTATTTGCATACCGGTCTATTAGTTTAACTTACTATTATGTATATTGTATACGCTATACATAATACATATATATGTAATTTAATTTTTTCAAATGGGCTTGCTGTACTTACTCTGTCTTTATAAGTATTCGGAATGTGTGATGCATCATGTGTGTCTGGTAGAACTATAAGGAAGCCCAAGGTATCACTCTCACCATAATTGTCGCTATAATGTTTGCCACGGCTTTCGTGAAATCGTGTTCCTTTTCTGTCAAAAATGTATTACACTTATTTTTTATTTTCTTGAAAAGAATACTTTAGGAAGTTTACTTGAAAAGTACTGATTAAAAAAAACTTTATTATAGTGACAATAAGAATCTTATTTGACCGTACATGTGAATACAAAATAGAAAATAAAGCCCATAACGGTTGAAGCTGGATCTTTAGTTAGCTTCAATAATTCGATGTGAATTTATATACTACGATCGAATCCTGCCAAACTGCGCGCCGAATTGATTTTTCGATCTTGAAATGCTATATCGACAAAATTACCGTAATACTATCACAAATTAAATTGCCTCGCAATTTAATAATTTGATGTTCATAGGCATCTTAAAAAAATCTTAAAGATACTGATAAATATATGTAAATAATTTATTACGAAATATTACCTCGGTCGGGGATTGAACGTGGATCTTTTGCATTCCATGCGAGCATCCTAAGTCTTTAGATCACCGAGGCAATTTGATATGTGGTATATAAATTCACACCGAATTATTTAAGCACTAAAGACCATTATGGACTTTGATCATGGGCTTTATTTTCTATTGGTTGTGTATTTATTATAGTGTTTTCTTTAGAAAACTCAGAGAGAAAACTTTCGAAGTCAGTTATAAGAATATGTAATAAAAAATAGGAGTTTCTGTTTAAAAATTTCAGATGATTTTTACGTGACTCTGAGAGATATCCAAAGTCATTCTGCTATTACTGTAATGCGCCACTTGAAACCCTATAATTTGAATATAAAAAAATTTCTTACTGAAACGCTTACTTTTCAAGATATCAAGGGATCTGCAATTTTTTCCACACTCTGTATAATCGTGATATGTAATACCTGGATCTCCATGAGTAACCAAATTTGTCATAGCCAAGTGGAGCTTGTAAGTTTGCATATTCTTGTCCCCATCCGAGTCTCGTAGCAGATCCCTCTGGCATCTCTTCAATGGTGGCTTCCCAGTACCAAGTACCCCTGCTTACACCTGTATGTCAATAAATGTAATTAGATTTCTCTCTCTCTCTCTCTTTTTTTTATACAAAACATTATCAATCAATTATAGCAAACTTTCCGGATGCATAAAATATAAGAATAAATAAAATGCAATCACTAAAACAAAAATTGAAAAGAATATAAAAAAATTTCAGTTGTGTATTAGTATACATAATTTCTCAGTAATATTAATAGCTGGTATAACAATGATATTATTACTATTATATTATTGAATATACCAATATTTTCAAATTAATCAGATTAACGAAAAATTATGTATATATCAGTATTAGTAGAGAATATGCTCTTTCTGATTACGCTTGTATTTGACATTAAATATTTGTATAATTAGATTTTTAATGTTGCAATTTTATATAAAAATACACGGTACCAATATATAATTGCTAGTAATGGCGGTGGAAAGGGTCGCTGCCATTTTAACAAATTGATAGTAAGAGTGTTCCTACGTACTATGCGTGGCTCTAATCATACAATATCCTTTTTCTCCAGTAACCGCTAATCTGTCTTCAGCCACTTTCAGTTGCGGCGCACGATCATGCAATGCAAGCAAAACTGTACTCGGGCTAAGAGCGCGATAGAGCCAGCCGGGTATAGGTTTACCAGCCCAATCGCTGCTTTCGTCGAACTCCTGAACACAAATTGAAGAATTTAGAAAATATTCAAAAAATTTTATTTTAAATGTTATTGTGCATTTAAATTTAGAATCTTAATCCCTTGACTGTAACACATAGAAATTGCTTTTCAAAACTCCCAATAAAATAAAATAAAAATGTGCTATTATAATTTAGTTTTTACATATTGATTAATGTGAAATAATAACATAATTTTATATAATTAATTACTTAAAACTTTAATGAAGTTCTTAATTCTAGATTTAAAAATGGATAAATCTGTTGGAAAAAATCAATAATATATTTTTTTTCTTGCAATAGAGGGAAGCAATAAAAATAAAAAAAATCTTGATCCTTTGGCCGACACATTGTTCCAATATATGTATATATTTTGTGTGTGTATACGGTTTATATAAAAATTAAAAGTTAAAGGTATATGCAGGTAAAGAAAGCCGAAGCATACCTGTCGGAAAGGCGCGTGTGGATCTGGCTCTGCCAAAATGTATCTATAGCCGTCCTTGTTGAATGGATGCTCGAGCGGATAACCATGAGCCGGCAGTTTAGGGGTGGTCATGTCGGATCCTCTACCTTTTTTTCCAGAACCTGTGCCCGCTGCTTCACCTGGGAGCTTTCGTTTGGCGTTACGACCTCGCAATCCTCCGCTAAGTGGCACTGAACGTTCCATTACGATATTTTAATACATATTCTCAAGATATTCAATTCTCAATATTTCTCGTCTTTCAGTAATATTGTCCTTAATCCTATCTTTTTCCTCTTTAGTCACTGTTTCTTTTCAACGTATCAAAATAAATTGCAAAAAATCAACAATCGGTTTTTTTGTAAATAGGAGATCAATTCATTCTTGCAATAATAAATCTCTTGTACAAATAACAATATATTAAATGATATAATTGGCGATATCAAGACGTTATGATCTTATACCAATGTGACTTAGAACAAAGTTTATTGAGATGTCTATTAGATGCCTACGTCATGATTCAAACTTAAATAATTTTTTTGATAACGAGTTGGTGATTGCGTTTATGATAAGATAAGAAATGACAGATCTAACGACATATACAGCTATGAAC